TAAATGTAAAAAAGAATTCACGTCTCAGCTAGATTTCTGTTTAGAAATGCAAGTGCCATGTGGTCACTGGAATTTAACCGAGAAATAACTAAACTGTAACCATGACAACTCATGTTCACAATAAATAAATAATATGATATCACAATTAATGTAAAGAAGCCGTTTTTCGTGATTACTCTAGTTGAAAGGTTGTGCAAATGTACGCTTTTTCTCTTTGGATGTACTGAATTATCGTTCTCCGAGAGGTGTTCGTCTCGGCCCACATGTGAATTAACCATGCAGTATTTATGTTTACTCTAGATAACAGCTTCAGGCGGGTTTTAGTCGGCAAAGAGAGCATATGTGACATATAAATGAACAAGTTCATGAATTAAATATTTAATATGGCATTTAAAGTCATTTGGTCAAAGTTCGAGATTATTTTGCTTCATTCTTAACGAGATAGTGATTTTGAAAATTCTCGATAAATTCACCGGTTTTAATCCACTGGGAAAGTATGTGTATTGTTGGGTATAGTAGGAATAGCTGGTTATATTTATTGTGAAAACAAACACAATACTTTTCGAAATGCCAAGTGCAAATGGAACACGCCCTCTCGAAGTTGGCAGCTCAGTTTGCAGTTTTCGTTTCAATTAGACACCATTTTATTTTGACACGTCCCATCTTATTTTAATATGATTTAAATTAATTGCAGCTGTGCTGGCTTCATATTTTACCAATTTCATGTCTTAATATGTTGTCATGGAGAAACCACTGGGATTACCCGTGCCGTGTAGCTATGGCTAATGAGCCACCAGTTTTTATAATTTGTTTTTTCAAAGGCAACCAAATACTCACATCATATGTGACACTCGTGCACAGCAGTGCCACTCACAAATCAGGGCGGTGAGGGCGCTGTTGTCACTGTAGTACAGCGAAGCTACATTTCGTCCGCTCTTTTGGACTGAAACTACTGCCGTATTCAGGTCTCGAGTTAATTATTACAAAATAAAAATAACCCAGTTAGAATGTGTCATTCAAAATTTGAGACGTCCGCGCATAATACGCAGTTCACCATGATGGGTAGTGGGATATTTATCGTAGATGGCGCATTACAGTCGATACAGTGGGCTGGACGATTTTCGACATCTAGTTTACTTTCATCCTAAATTCCGCTAAACGACAATGAAGACATCGTGGGAGTAAAAAACATCTCCTTTTTCAATAAATACAATTATTGGTTTGCCTATTGGAGATGTTTTCAGCGAAATTTCTGCTTTTTAAATGATGACAAAAGCGTTAGTGGTGCCGGCTGCCGTGAGTGCATCGGGACAACAGCTGTGGCCCCGTCATCCGGCGTTACCATAGCAAACAGGAGATTTAGTGACCTTTGTCGGGTATCTACACTGCTATATTATCTTATACACACATATAAGTGGATTTCACAAATTGTTAAATTTAAAATATTAGTTTATTGGATAATATCATAGAAAAATCTCAATGAGAAGTTTTTGCATCGTATTATAACTTAATGTCTCATTAGGTCCACATAACGGATATAACGCATAATTTCTCTAGCAGTTAATAATGAATATACAGAATAAATCTTCTTTCATATTCTGAATACGTTCCATTTTTTTGAATCAGCGACTGTCCAACAGTATTACAGACGCAGCGGAGACAAACACACAATATATTATAACTGATGAGCGGGTAACTTATTTTGGTTATTACCGTTCAGCTTCATAACATGTACTGGGTTCATTTAAATTTGTGCGAACGGAATACATAAGGTCGGGTTAGTCGAGCCGGAACCGACATTCAGAGAATCGGTGAAGCAAGGAGGCTTGGTGACTCGTAAGCCTAAGATGTGTGTAATTATTCCCATATACATCATGCAGTTCTAATGTCAAGATTTAGTTTGTTAATAATGCACAGCCCCTTGCGCTTTTATAAGATACACTGAGTAATCCGTGTTTGCAAATATGACGTGCACATAGGTTTTTGTTTTTTGTTTTTTTTCCCAAAACATCACCTCAATACGTATGTTTGTGTCTAATATGACCTAAATTCGACATTTAAAAAAAATGAACTATATATGTATGTGTTCGCAACCATACAGGCTGGCACTGTTTACCATTCGTGTCACAGTGCAAATGATGTGTTCAAATACTACGTATAAACTAATGCATTCGTAATATTGCTATAATATCATTCAATTACACGGGGAACAACAACAAATATAGAAAACACAGTCATGCTGAGAAAAGATAACAATACACAATAAAAACACAATGTGTTACCTAGATAAAATATTAAGCTTAAGACTTGTTGCCCATCTATCGAGTAGTGATCAAATATGTTGATTCAAAGTACGCATGGAAGTTCTCTAACGTATACACGATGACACATGAACCGAGGAGCAATGAAATACCTCAACTACATTCTCGCGGGTATTAAGCATAACGCCAGGATATTTAATCTCGTCAACAGAAAGAAGAACAGAATATGAAAACCCTATCGCTTTTAAAAGTGTTCAGCGGCATACGATTGACGTGACATCATTGAGACACAGTATTGCGATCAAACTGCCGTCGTCACTAAACAAAGTATGGCATATTCTGGTTTCGCCAGCAACCAACACAGAAGGAGAATTGAAACATGCTGGTAAGTCATTAATACAAATATTAAATAGGAGAGGACCTAAACACTCCAGTCTGAATAACAACCACGAAAATGTACTCATTGTAAACAATCATAAACAAACTATCCAGTCCAGTGCCATATGCATTCCGTAATGCAATAAAGTGTGATGATTTATTAAATAAAAACTCTTGGGACGTAGCATATCGAATGTCTTGGAAAAGTTCAAAAATAGAATTCATGTGGTGTATTATATAGTAGTACATGTTGACGTAAAATGTGAACCATGCTGTGTGTTTTTTATCTGTGTCAACTAAAAGGGCGAAAAGGACTTTATTGGTTCAATCTGTGACAAGACAAACGTCATTTTTCATTTTGTACAAAGGGAGTGATTTTTGCAATGCGACACATGATGAGCTGTCACGCCGCCGTTGTACAATTCTTTTGGTCAGGTATTTTTTTTTTGTTAAAATTCTTATCACGTCAGCGGGGTAGCAGATTAAAACCTGCCTTTTATAGTTTTTTTTTACAATACAGCGCGCCAAATATGTAACATCTGATGGAAGATAGGGGATTAAATAAGAGACAGAAAAAATTGGATTTCGCCAGAGCAGTGGAAAATTCTCTTTTATTTGCTTGCGGATTTAAAGCAGACTTTATGTAAGCTGGTCTGGGTTGATTTTGGACAGTGTTTATATATATATATATATATATATATATATATATATATATATATATATATATATATATATATATATATATATGTACATACATATGGGGATCGGGGTTAAAGGTCAAAGTATGATGTTAGTACACATTATAGTTACGGCATTTTATCTGCCCCGGGGTAAAGTTTTAGTTGGTAAATATCTGTTCTACGCGTGGGACTTTTTATGAATTGGGTGCTGCGGGTTAGGAGTCTGAAGTTTGTTAATGCTCGAACGCCTTTGTAGTGCTAGATATGGAAGGTCGAAATAAATAGAAAAGGGGAATGTGAAAAAAATTACTAGAGGTGAATATCGCAAAGGAACAAAATAGTAGCTAATGGCTAATTCAAAACTTCAGTTTTCGACATGTTTTCATCTGTTATTTGCATCACTAGGGTACACTACTTGAAAAGGTATCTGAAATGTTATCCGTATGAGAAATGTCAACTTTCTTCAAACACGTTGCATTGTATGTGTGGAACAGTGCCTCAGACCCAGTACTACGGGTCCCCTTATCTAAAAGCACACATCACACATACTCATACATTTAAACACACATCATCACCATCCAATACATTGTTTACTTTAAATATATTTTAATCCGTTATTTCGTCCATGGTTCACAAAATTTTCTTGAGCTTTAAAAGATTTCTAAATTGTTTTTTTTTTTTCTTAAAAAGAAGGAGAATCGATGGGAACGAAAATAAAATCGAAGATTAAAAAGCGCATGGATTCAAACAAATATGGTAAAAGTCAATGGTTAAATACTACATGTATACAACATTAATAAAACATGGCCAGTCAGTGAGAAAATATTAACCTGCCACCACGCTTTACATCATTTTACTGGGATCAATACTGACAATGTTCAAATGATGGGCGCCTGAAAGTTACCTATTGTCACTATAATCAGTAAACTCACAATTCTCTTCTCTAGGTAAAAAGTCAGATGACTCAGTAATATGTGAAGTATCGACACCAATGCCCCTCTCATAATATCCGTAATTTAAAGCAGTCTTGTAACATGCTGTATCCAAGTCTACGTGTTGTCGTATTTACATGAGCTAAATGATGCGCTACAGCGTCATTGCAGCGGAGCCAAATGTTAGTCACGTGCGTGTCCACCGTGAAGAGGCACCACACGCAGAGGCGAAATTGTAATAGTTATTTAGCGTTTAGAATATAAATTTTGTACAATAGCTGAATTGAACGAACTGTGGAGGGTGTACATAAAATAGTACTGTGAATGTCAATTCCATGTGATTGGAAATACATTGGACATTTCCCCGAAAATTTCGTCAAATTATATCGCAAAATGTTGTACAGCGGTCAAAATAACTCAAACAGCATCGGAATTGTGGTGTGCTTGCTCCACAAAAAATGTCAAACGAAGATGCAATAGTCGCACACTTTTACCCATAATGCTAAAGTCATTATGAATACCGTTACCATAACAACTAAATTTATAACAGCGAGCGAGCGAAAGAAAACTAACTAAGTAATTCATACAAAATATTTTTTTTGCAAACGTGTTTCTCTACATAAATATGTTAATATTGCAGCCACAGTTACGAGACACCGGAAAGAAGGGGAACACAAGTGTGTGTATTTGGGAAACATAAGTTATGACCACGGAAATCAGTCAAAATAACATTTCGTTTTAGAAAAAAATGTTTCTACATTAATAGAAATTATTCACCAGAATCTTATCACATTGAAATGTCATCTATTAAATCAGGTTGTTCTGTAACATGTGTATCTCGTTCATTTATACAAAAGAGGAAACTGAAAGGAAAAGGTGGATGCCTCGGCAGATGTACAAAGTATTTAATACAAGCAACTGAGTTAATGATATTGCATGCAACACCTGGTCATTCATAAAAAGGGTTCAACGTGATCCATCTTAGACAAATCAGTCAGCTACAAGTGGTTGATTGCCAAGTGCAAATTTATGATGAAATGTCTTTTTTTTAAAAAAAATTAGTCCGATAACATGCTCTGCTATTCGGCTACAATACTTGAAATTTCCACGACGAGCCATGATCTTTGCTTTCTAAGCAGCTATCGGCGGAGAGTGAACTGTGCATGCCCATGCTGGAGCCCATGCTACCCGTTGGTGTCGCCGGGTTCATATGGTGGGAAGGTTGTAATTGTGACGGTGCTGAACTCATATGTGAACCAGCCATACTGCTGGAGCTCATTTGATTTAGTGTTGTGCCGGGTAACTGCATTGGTGGCAAGTATGATGAGCAATCGATATTGCCGAAATAGGATGACGGTTGGTAATTCTGCGAATAGCCCGGCGACTGTGCGTTGGTCATGGGGTACGTTGAACGTTGCATACAGCTGCTGCTGGACGACAAATGGTCGTTGACTGGGGGCGGGATTGATGCCGGGCTCCAAATACCGTTGCCGTTTGATACCACCGGTGATTTGTACGGCGCTGTCATTGAACTCATAGTACTCATTGCAGACATGCTAGTAGTGGTAGTGGGTGGGGTATCCCTGGGAGGTGGGGAGCCTTTCTTGTGTGTTGGTCTGCTTTTGTTGACATTTTGGCCACCGTTCTGTTTCTGTTGCTCCTGTTGGCGACATTTTGCTCTCCTGTTTTTAAACCACACCTGTGAAATAAAATGAAACAAACACCACGTTAGTCACATTGTGTCAGTCAATTACCAAGTCAATGCCACGTAGAAAGGGACACAGAAACGCATTATGAATAAAGAAACATCGTGATTATGTAAATACCATTTAGCTTTCACACCTCAGTCTGTAACCCTACTACACCTTGTCATTTTACAAGAAAAGAAAACATTTGCTGGAACATTAACACGTATATTCATTGTGTTAGTAAGCTTGTGATATCTTATCTTTCGATGTTAATCTACATTTTACATAACAACAACAGTGGTAAAACTATCACTTTGCACGTGTTCTAAATATGAGAGCAAGACAAACACGCGGCTTAACCCTCATCCTAGCGACGCTGTGTCAAGTTGGCAAAGCTCCTACTACCATTCACCATAACGTAACATGTTCAAAAAATACAGACTCACTATTTAATAATGATATTACAATGTTTAACACCACTTTAGTGTCATAAATGACTTAGCAGTCGTGAAAAAGTACTAAACCATAAACAACTCAGAAAATAGTCATTAAATGAAATGGATTACAATGTAGACAGTTGGCACGGCCACAGGTGTCCACTGCCTCCGGCTATGGCGGTAAAAAGCAGAGCCTCCACCGAGGTTTACGGCACTGAACTACAGAATTAGATTTTTTAGAGTTCTTATACGTCGTAATCCTAACCTAAATTACAAAGCCATTCCCGCTATCAACAACATCAATCATCACATCAGAAATTCACAAATTTACAGCCGATGTAATTAGATACGGTTTCCACATAATCTCGGCTCTGTTGACGGTTTGTCATATTATTACCAGTTATCATCAGCGCATGGAAGAGACTCAACGAATCCTCTACATGCTTGTATACGCAAATAAAACTGTCTGATATATTGTGTCAACGTGTTTGCTGCAAGCCGTCGGGAAGCCACATTCCCTGGTAATTGTATTCTGTGGAAAACTCTTTTGTTTTCCCGGTAGAGGATTTAAACAACGATTTGGACCTCCCTCTGAACGCCTCGGGTCTTTTCGGTAAACGTTTTGGTTGTCAATAGAAGTTTAAAAAGCTGGGAATATCAAAAGGTTTTGATCGAACACTAATTTGTAATGCAGTTTTCTGTGTTTTCGTTATTTGTTTTAATGATGTGTTTCTAGACAGCAGCAAGTAAAGAAAAATAAGTCTAATTACCCAACTAATTAACACCTCGCGCATGTTTATGTTAAAGTAAATATCGTGCTGAATTACAGGTTCAGGACAAAAGGCTCACAGTCACTCTTTTACCACACCTTATCGAGTGATAAAGGATGGCATTTATATCAAATTAATCTCTGTTTGCTTAAATAATTATAAATAATGTCGAATTTCAATGAGATGCAGATTAGGAAAAGACTAGATAAACTACCATACGGAATCACGCCTTCCCTAAAAGAATGTATTTTCTTGAAATTACTTGTAAACTTTTTGAGGACAGAAATGACCATGCCAAGTTTATAAATCCAATAGTGGTCTATGATTGTTTTTGACCCGTACGATTTGGTGAATGAATATGACTGTATCACAATGTTAATAAATTGATTTATAAACAATTCACGTCCGCGGAGGCCAAGAAACTTGAATATAAATACTAAGCGATAAACTTAAAATTGTTTGGAGTACTTAGAAGGAGCGTGTTCAAAGGAAAGAGAAGACAGTGTATGTCCAGACATGCATGCAGATAACTGGCATTCAAATGAATGATTGTAGTGTTGTGAACTACGGTACTAGGCCGTGGGCATTTGAAGATCGCGCAACAATTGCTCTTTATACGTTTTATCACAAACATTGCCGACTTGTTTTGTAAATGAAAGTGTCTTGCAATATTTTGAGTGCCCGCTGTCTTTGATTTTGGGTGATCTGAATAGAATCCATGTATACTCACTCTTTACAATCAACAGACACTTTCAATAAACCCAATAATTGCAATAGTGTTAAACGAGGGTGCTAGGATTATGGGAGTCCCTCGTCATTATAAAATAAAAACGATACCATAATGATATAGTAACACGAATTATATGATTCATCAATTACTTGCGGATGGTATGACAATATGTTTTTTGCCAAAAAGGCAAAACTTGGCACCCGGTAAAATGTATAATTGGTTACTTTCTTTCATCAATGGTTACTAGAACCGTGTTTTATCCTCAGAGCATATTGGTGGGATTAACCACTATATATGGTACTAGAAGCAAATCTTCACACAAATCTCTCGTTTTCATTCGTCATGAAATTACTACCTTCGACCACAATTAATGTCTAATTCGTTGTTGCGTATTAGTTTAACTATAGTCGTCATGGATGTGGGCGTAATCTAGGCCTTGATTGCACATGGGCACAGGTTAATTGTGAATAAGGCAAGAAAAAATGATGAATTATCAGTTTTTGTATTTTTTAACGTTATGCATTATTCTGAAATCAGCGAGAAATTGTCAGTACATTGAACACATTCATGTTAGCCACGTTGTACCTGGAAATGCTACTGTGGCGTGGGAATGCTCAACGTTTCTTTTCAAAATCTCCTCTCTGATTGAATCCTACAGGTATGTAAAATGATATAAGCCGAAATTACTAAGCCCTGTAGCTTGCAAGCTGCATTTTTATTTCTTCTAAAACATGTTACGACTAGCCCTACGCACTGTGTTCTTGAAATAGCACAAAATCTTTTCAAGATCATCGCTCAACATGTAAATGTATTGAGATAGAAAATGGATTGACAGCTCGCGGCTGCTTCGCAAAATGAAGTTGATTTTAATAAATCAAACTTCATGTTCACGTCTTGCGATAACTGTTTGTCATGCTCTGTGTGCATACTGCACGGATGCTCAGATTCGAGCAAAGAACACACCCGTTTCCCAGGTAACCCATTCACAACTGTGCTGGTAACATGTGTATCATTGTTCGTTTTTACTCGGAACTCATGTTTGTCGCTTCGTCCGCAGCACCCCGTCTAATGTCCACCACTCGCCTCAATCACGTTATTAACAATTAAAATTACTATTATAATGAAAACATAACTATGAACAAAACGATTTTCTGGAATATGAAACCACCCTGTTGTGGGCATTTATAAATATGTAACGTTACAATTAAGTGTGCAAATTGAGACAGAAACTGTCTGTCCGAACTGTGAACATGATTGAAAAAAAAAAATTTAAAAGTTTAATTTTAGTTTAAACAAAAACTAGGAGTATTTGATCCCATGATGGAGACTTGAATATCACGCTGTGGCAGTGATAAAGAAAATCCAAATACATGTAAAGGCAGATGTGACTATAACAGTATTAAAATACAACACGATTTGTAAACAACAATTGAGTGTTTGGGTTGTCACATCTTAGTGCAGCGAGGCGAGATATCTTCTCAAACAATGCTTAGAAAGGGATTCCGTTTATTATCCGAAAAATTGGATCAAAATAATAAAGTAGTAGAAAAACCAACTTAAATCTTAGCTTTATGTGAATTATGTGTTATATAGTGTTAATACGGACCCTGGAGGGGAGTATAATACAAATAATACTCTCGTTAAACACGGTAAACCCACGAATCTCGGTACGCAGAAGCATGCTTATAACATAAATGTATATCAAACGCTGCTAATTTTAAATTGTTGCAAAATTAGTTTTATTCTAAAAAAATCACTAATCTATACACAATTGAGCTATTATAAGGAGTATTTTTCAGATTTTTAGACTGTTTCATTTTTTTTAACTAACGAATAATTTAGGCAAGCGTTCTATGGAAAGAAACATGTTAGGGAATAATTATCGCCAACGAAATTAACAGTCAACTTTGTCGTGTCTCATATATATTCGTTGCCTCAAACTATTGAAAAAGAATAAAAATAGCCGCAGCTGTTTAGAAATCACAATCTGTCGAAAGAAATCAGTAATTCTAATTGTCTTCCCACCAAAGTCGGGAGGAAAATCTGCAGGCCGTATGGGCACCATCGAGGTTTATATTTGAGCAAAAAAAACTCAATTAATTATTTCGATAAAAGGAAAATATTGTGTTGTTTCATTGTGGCCCTATTTTGATAAATGTGATATCCATACGCAAAAGAATATACACAGCAACCTTTAGCAACTATACTCGCACGAAAACATGGGATTAGAATCCGTGTCCATTCAGCCCGTGCAACGGTTTGTGGGGATTAAAACCCAGATGCCACAACGTGTCACCAATGCAGCACATGAAATCCCCTAATCTTTTTAATTGAAAAATAGAAAAAGCACTACAAATCCTCTCACGTATTGCTTTCTGACTTATGGAAAATTCTCTCAACAGATTTTAAATTAAAATAAATAGTTAAAAACAGTAAAAAATTCCCCGTTTTGATCAATTGTCATGTCTCGATATTGACCCCAGCATTCTAGTTAGCATTCAAATTGTATTCAACATCCATCAGCAACATTGGTGCAGCTGACGCCAATGTGCAACCACACAATCCTCTGTTGACACGCATCGTAGCAACAATATTACGCTCCAATATGAATATTAAAATAAAACTTTCATATTTCGCGAAATGTTATTTTTCCCCCGACACCAACCCGCACGTGCAAACAGTTGTAGCACGAGTGAAGCCGAATTCTCACGTGCGGGAATGATGGCGTATGGCAGAGATCAAAACAGATTAGGCACAAAATAAAGCAGACAGCAAGTCAGTCAGAATAAATAAAATAAAATGATGAATGGACCACATAGAAGCTGAACATATAATCGCATGAACACTCACCTGAACTCGAGACTCGGGTAAATTAATTTTCAATGCGACTTCTTCTCTCATAAATATGTCCGGATAGCGTGTTTTGCCAAACAACGATTCTAAAATATCTAACTGAGCTCTAGTGAATGTTGTTCGTTCACGCCGTTGTTTTCGTGGGTTGCCTGTAAGCCAAAAAAAAAGATAGATTTAGACCAAAATGTTTAGTACAGCTAGTTATATGGTATTGCCATATTTTGAGATTTACTTTCATTTTTTCGCTGTACAGAAATTCAATTTTCAATATTAAACCACCCTTTTCAGAGTCACTGATTCTATTAATACCCCCAAGCAGGGAGATACAGAGAAAAGTGTAGTGAATTATTGAAATCTTGCTGTCAAAATGACATCAATCCATGGTGGATTAGAAAATCAAGTTATTATTATACACTCTGACGTTAAAATGACTGGTTGCAAATGTCTAATTTTAAAACAACAAAGCAGCTTGTTTTAATCCAAACATCTCGAACAAAGCTGGTATTTATTTTTTGTGGTAAAATATTCTAGGCACTGTGTATACAACGAACACTAAATTTCAGTGGGCGTGTTGTACCCCATCTTTATGAGACCACACCACTTGGTTGCACTACAGCAGGAAACCTGTTGCTCGCCCATATCAATGTAATATAATCAAGGGTAAAACACAAATTTCACTTTAAGTGGTCATTTTATGACAAAAAAAATAAATAACGATAATGATACTAGGTGAAAAGTGGAAAGGCCCTCTCCGGGGAGTGCACTGATTGCAAATAGGCGAACACATTTTCATTATTTCCCGCGGGACGTTACTTTTAGTGTCCCACGTAGAAATCGACTGCGTGTAACCTAACTACTCCAATGAAATTGCTTTGTAACATCAGTTATTGAACGAGTTAAAGTAACGTCGGGTCATAAGGGTCACCCCGTAATTCACTTGCGATCAAGACATTATTGCGCCACGATAACATGCTATTTGATTTTTTTGCAATATTAAACAAATAAAGAGATTTATGCCTATTCTAAATTTGTGCTAGCTAAGTTTTTTTAGCTTTCAAACGATATTCGATATTCAGTCATGCTTTCCTAGTAGAACTTATTTTGCCCCGGGCACAACGCTGATTTTGAGTCGTTGCTATTACGGTAAGGGCCAACCATGGAGACCAGTTATCGCGGTGGTCAGATTAAAGGCTTGCAAGACGACGGTAAGTTACACCAATTAAAGTGGCCAATTCGAGATTTTATATAGTCCGAGTTAATCTCGATTGTGGGCATTTCCGCTCTTAAATTTGTTTTGCAAGATACAGTAAAAAATTGAAAGAATGCGAGTATTTGTTTTAATGTGAACAGGGAACGAGTCCGTTGTCATAGGAACACGTTTAAACTAAGCCTGTTCGGAAAGTAGGCTTGATCATCGTAAGTGTTCGTCTTGTGAGAATTAGCTACGCTTACTCTTGTATGTAACGATTATTTATAGTAAACTGTTATTATTAATACAATAAACAGCTTGCAGGGAGAATAGCGAGGGGAGAGATATAGTGAGTGTGCGATACAATCATATAATCTCAGCTTGCTGGGGAAACGGCATATAGGTGTCCATGCTTCTTAAAAAGTTTAAAGCACGCTTATCCCACCAAATAGGCTTAAGTCAAACAGATAGAGACTTTCATCGGTGAGCTTCAGCTTTTTTCTAGTTGGTTGGCCTGCCAGGCAGCTAACTAAGCAAAGTATACTATTTGGATACTTATTAGATTAGATGGCGATTTACAAATCCACTCACTAAAAAGTTGTGAAAAGCAGGTTGAGTAATACGGCGTACATGGAGGATCGAGCGCAACGGCGTCTTGTATGAAAGAAATGTAATTGACAAGGTTTGTTTACATCCATTGTTCAGTACTTTTTTTAGTGATTTAACTTTCCATTGTGTGCCACGCAATTTTACCCGTTGATTTACGCTTCCGCTTGGTGGCAAGCCACGTGGGACGACGAACACGGAAACCACACAACTGTTGGGACGCCACATGTAAAGGAAACAAGGTAAAATATGCTGCCCTTCTCACAATTGCGTCCGCGCTATGTAAACCCCTCCATATCAACTGCATCACTTCCGTGCGTCTTTCGTCCTAGTGCATTGCCAAAGTGTTAGTAACATACACATTTTCGAAATTTTGACCATACTCAGTCAATTAAAACAAGCTAATCTGTCATGCCTGCTTCGCCATACTATGATCCAACATGCCAAACATAAATTAAAGCTGCTTACACTTACACCCTTCAGCTTATACACAACAAAATTGAACAAGGATTCGTTGACTAAACCACCATCGGCATCCAGTGCCATTTCTTTTTACCTTCAAATGGTTTGAAACGTAGGAGTTACCATGTATGTTGGCCAATGCCATAGGCGACTATTTCCATTTAGTGACAATTTCAATGAGTTTGTAAAAGAGGTTGAATAGCACGAATAGGAGTTCAGTGGGTGCCTTTTTGTAGAATTGTCAGCCTGATAGAGGCAATGATTTCCTAATGTTATCGCCACGGGTAAACTAGTTGATTGTACAAAAAGGGACTGTTTTATCGCGCGGTGAAACCATTTGCCCATGAGAGAGTTGGAAAGAAGCCCAAATAATCGGCAATGTCGTTTTGTTCGAAAGCATTCGTTCATGAAATACAGAGGCAATAGAGAAGGCGTTGCTAGGCTTATATCTCAACAATAACGCGTAATTTGGGACATCCCAGAAACGTTTGTAACAACTACAATACTATTGTTTTTGAAATGCCTTTTTTTTTGGTTACTAAAGAGCGGTAGTTTTCGGACGAGAAGCCATCTCATCAATCTCACCCTTTAAACCCTCGAAATAATAACCAATCAATCGGCTTAGAGTGAGCACAAACTTGCGGCATGCGACTGTTTTAGTTTTCGAGTTGAAATAAATGGCTAAAAGGAGGAGTTTTAATCTGGTAGATAATCATGATGAGAGTAAAATCGTGACGGATTAAGAGTTATGCCGAATCAGATAGCATCTTCTCTGCGCGTCATTGACTGCCGGTTTACGGTAGTGTATAGTATAATAGGCTGTTACGAAATATACACATGCAGTGACAATTTTAGAGGACATAGAATTTATAATGTAATGATCTAATAGCATCACCGAAATGGTCTGTTTTCGAATCTCTCTCGTGTATACACTATATCAGACGCGCAGAGAATCAGTTGAACGGTTGTACATACAGAAATAATGCAAAGGAAGTGGTGCTCTACCGTGAATGATGGTACCTGGGTACATGGCTGGGTGCTGATTGAGCTCCACGGCGTTCGGCGACGCTAAGCTGATCCCGTTGACGCTGTATGGCGCACCAGGCTTCATGTGGGGCAGCGGATAGGACATCATGACGATACCGTTACTATCGCTATACAATACGAGGATTTGATGTGAATGGGTGGACGATCGATCCACTTAGGATATACTGGAAACGACTCCGGAGACAATGAAAGCACACGTCTTGAGTGAAGCAAGTAACAGAAGCAAATGAGATATATGGTCGGGATGCTGCGCACACTTAACGAGTTACTATCTGAAAGAAAAAGGAAACCGGAAGGTGAGATACTGTTGGGATTGTTGCTAACCGATCAATCACAGGCACGCTCCCCAATGTCGGTAAATATGAATGAAGCGTTAGGATAAATATTGTACCTTATTGTAGCGATATCTAGCAAGAATTAAACAAGTGCCAGTATAATGGTGGATAACAACTGATCGCGTAGCGTGTGAGACGCCGTGAATGCCTAACACATATGTAGTGGTAGCTGATGACGAAGAGAAATGGTATCAGACGGAGTATAGAGCCACCTGCGGCGTAGTGCTTCACTGCAGTGGTTGCAGCCGGTATGATTATGAGAGCCCAAACGAACTACACCACGCACATGAAACTGTCACTTTACATCACGTGTCAAAGTTCGCAGCCAATCAGTGGTCAGCATACTGGACAATGCGCACTATTGTGTCAAGCCCTCTCAATGTTCTCTGTACGCATTATTTCCCGTGCACGGGCAAGCAAGTGAATTGCGACCAAAGATATTCATCAGACAATTACACTTTCGTTTTGTGTTATCTTCTTTCAATGTGACTTTGGGTCACCTCTTTTCGAACAGTAACCACCCCAACACGAGCGAGTTCATGACAATCATAAGTCGTTTAAAACGAGCTTCATAAGTAAGAAGGCGGGTTGTAGAAATGGGCATATACTGTTTTTCACCTAAGTGTTTTAAAAATTAATAAATAAAATGGCTATAAACAAAATTTTGTAACGAATTATTAGTTACCGATTATTTTTTCTGCTCCGAAAATGTTTATTTTCTTTGTATATAGTCAGCGACTAGCAGCAAGGAAATGTAAACGAAAACACACACATGTGACGTGGTGGTGTGACCTTGCTTTGGAAAGCAACCATGAATATTATGCACGCCTACAAATCACAATTGGCAGAAAATGCATAAATGTATTCTACTGGACACGCGTTATTGTGCGCCTATCAGTGAGATATACGGCACGTTAACGATTGGGGCGGGTGGAGTAGAGGCGGAACCGATACCAATCAGTGTTCTGTATGTTTGAATTTCAAGACGACTAAAGTTGGTGACTTTTAATACCATCACAACATGTAGGAAAGTGACACGCTAGCCGTACCAGTACACTAAAGGAAGTTGTTCATTTTTCAAAGTATGCATTACCAGTGTCTTTTCATGGCGCTAGGTTCGAATTACTAAATGTTGTCCTTCCTAGGGTATACTATTGACTGATAGCAACCCCCTGATTGTTTACAGGAAATTTTAGACACATTATGACGAGTGTTATGTTGTATTAATTACACACATTAACAATTATTTGACGCGTCAATTTTGGGTGGCCCAAAGCCGGAGTGACAAGCGTATACACCGGAAACTGACAATTCGTGCGCTCTTTTGCCTCATCCTTTTTGCATAGTGTATATGTGCTTCTCTTCCGGTCGCACGGCATCCGTACAGATGCATCCCGAAATACTTTACACCCAGGAAGTGTGAATGGAAATCCAGAAAAAAAAAGGTAATAGTATTTTTACACCATGCTTTACTTCCCTGACAACTACAGGTCATCAAAATGTAAATAAGGATTAGTTTTTGCGATCTGACGTCATAAATGACATGTAAACAATACAGTGCACTTTACGATTTTTAATTTGCTAAAACATAACGCTTTTCTACGCAAATCGTGATTTCCCTATGGCAATGAGGACATTTGCTCCCCTTTCACGCTCGTTTATTTCAGTGTACTGTGCATTCTCGTTCTAACTATGAAATCACATCGCCTGGCTGAATCATAGTGAATTTCATTAGTTCTCATTATTCTTCAAATTAATTACCAAACCATATCAATAATGAAAGTGTGTTTTTCTTAAGAAAACCAATCCGCCGGGGACTTGCATGTGATTTGTTCAATTTCATACCGCGCCGTTGATGTTCATTTCTTGATTCAACATTTTTTATTTTTCTTTCTTTCTTCTTAGTATCTATGTAATTTGATGGGAATGGCACTTCCATCGTGCGCATTCAATCAATATTGTTATTGGTACGATCACATAGTTACGATAATACTTAATGTAATAATTTGACGCATTTAAAAAATTCTTTTATGTGCGTTTTCCGCCGATGAGACAATTCTCATCCGCGCTACATGCTGTAATCTGTATACATGTATAAATGATATCGGCAAATTAAAAGTAAATAGTGTGTTTGCGTTGTTTCTATGGCGGAGTACTGACCCCCATGCTACCGATGCGCCAACAATGGCGACCGACCCATGCAGCTCAATGAGCCAAATTTCACTTAAAAAGAACACCGAGCACAAAGAAAGGCATTAGATCGAGTCGTATTTGACTAGCATTTTTGCGTGTGAAAGGAGACGGGCTCTTTGACTGTTGCGTCTCTTAAAAGCCTTCCCGTGTTTTGCTGGGTTAAAACATTCTTCAAGAGAAAGCGTTGGACACTCACACGGCAGATCGCTTTCGACCACTTACACTGGATTCAAAGGTGCGAAAAATAAAGTGCCTATGACTTAATTTTGTAAATTGAAATGTGGTTCTGCAGTCCTGTGTCCCTTTCGTAGTGGTTCTATGACTCAGATTGTCGAATGTCGAGTCGATTGTTCTCGGTATCTGCCCCCTCCCATGTACCGTACACATGTTACGTCCACAGTAAAAGTTACAGATTCTTGTTAGATTGGATCGATCGAATTATGCATGATGTTAGACACAGACTGTAATTTCATGCAAATTATCACCTGATGTCATACAACCAATTACAAGCATTACAAAGAATCACTTCTCCTCGAGACCGACCTTTCCACATCATGACACCCGCCATGGCAACCGACGAATGAAGACGTCGCAAATATTGTAAGATTTACTTTAAGAAGCCGAAAATCCACACGGGGCAAAATGTGCTCTGAAACCTAGACCCTAGCCAAGATGCGGAGGGAGTTGTTTCCTCATGGAGCAGAATAACATATTTTCCAGTCAATTTGATTATAGTAATCGCAAAGGGTAACGCACTTGGGACCGATTTTAACATAAATGGACCTATGGTCAAATCCCTCCCGGACAAACACCGCACATTGATACTTGCTGGTATTTTTTGTTTTTTGTTATTTTTTTTAGAAGAGATTTCGTTGAAATTACATTGTTCTTTTTAAGAACATACATCATGTGTTGCGGGTGGCTGTGTAAATTATATCCCCCCCTTTTCCAAATTATAATGGTCGACCCTTTAAACGAGAACCCACTTTCACAACAATATCATCTAAATAATGTATTCACGTTAGAATATAATGAAGTATTTCAAAAATAAAAATTCCGGTCTGGAGAATTAAGGGGAAGGACTTTTACAGGCACATAAAGTCACATGACAGTTTGTTCTACCCCCATATTAATTGTAAGTTAGTGTTCCCGAATATCCACCCGGGGCATCATAGTGGGATACCTCAATCATGTGCTCATAAACTTATTCAGTTGACATTTTGAAATTACAACTATAACGCGGTCGTTCTTCGATATTTCGTTCAATACGGTTTAGACGTAAATCCCCACTATAAGCTCCGTCCTTTTAACTATGATCTATGCGTATAATTGATGTCAAAACTTCGATCTTTCTTGACTACTGACTACTACATATACCGGAGTAAATCTCTTTACTATACAAGGTGTATTTACCGGTTATAAATGTTACGTATAACACAAGGCATGTGTTATAACCTACTGTGTCAATTTTACCCAAAATTACCATCCTCATAATATAACGTTGGATGCACCGCGATGGCACAACCAACCATTAGTTCCAGTTGCCTTTGAGTTATTCCAATTTGTTCCCACTCACGATCCCCCTTTTTTTTAACAAAATGGTCCGATTTGTACATATCCGATGTCACCCTACTATTTCAAGTAGTGCGGCGGGGTTCAGAGGAGTGGGATGGGGATACGATTTGTGCCGGGTACTTTCAAACACTGGTCTAACTCTTATAACGATAAAGGTCACATTTTTCAGATAGCCATGATAACATTGTTCCATGGATATTGTGGTATAGTTTTCCGATCCGCGGCTTTTCCTTGATCGTTAACGTTCACAATAGAGCTGGGCCGAAAGTCGACATCCAGTTGGCGGTGTAAAGGTGTAATCTCACTTTACTGGATTATGTACATTTTACTTTTCAGTCAAACTTATATCACACTTTTGTATCGATAGCATAAATAACAAATTCTTTAAATTTTTTAATTTCCTCGTTGCCATTTTCAGGGCAGTATGATTTTTTTCATTTGTTTTTACACAACAGATTGGATCGAAGACAATTATTTCTACTATACATGTGTGGTTGTTTATTGAATGGCCGCCTAACAATGAACCCAAATCGAAAACAGCTGTTTGCACGAGCAGTAGCCAGTTTATTAGAAATGCCCCTCCGTCTGCTACAAAGAGAACAATATCGGTAGAAAAAAATGTTATGTTTTTGTACACACATATGTGTCAATTAAGTGTACGCATCAAGCTCGTCTCCAACCCTTTTTATTGATTCAAACATAGACCTTAAACTCCTAAGGTGTACGATTTAAATATGCCGGTATTAGCAGAATCTTGGATCTACAGGCAGGAGAGTTGTATTAAATGCTTCTACACAGGAACTTAAGTTTGCCGAAATAGGGTTTCTAATTGCCGTGATCTAACTCGATTGATTAAATATTTATATGAAAGTACATTTCATTATATGCCGATATACAAACATTAACATGCAAAATTGCAATAATATAGCAGGCTAGCTGAGAGAGATATATTCCAAATCACCGATCGTTGGGACACGATAAAACATAACATGTACGGTACTGTAAATGGCCACAGCGGATCACGAAGCTTATCCCCATACCCTGAATCATACCGTTTCCCTTGTCACTGTCGCCTTACACCGGATGTGTGTGTATTTCACGTCTGACACCATTATAATAGAGGCTTTCATCAACACCCATCTGGCTATTGAAAATCATACTTATTGCAA